AGAGAAGAGAATATACATGACAATTCGAAGCGGTTGCAATTATATCGAAGTGACGACGACGACGATTATTAATAATAATAAAAAAGAAGAATAAACGTAGTAATTTATGTACAAATTGGCAACTTACCGTGGACCATCTGACGGACAGTGGGAAATAATCGTGAACGTCGTGTTAGGCCATTTTCTCTACATACAGAGGACGAGAAAAGAAAACCAGGGAAAACCGCGCTCGAGACGCAATAATCTCGCCGGTGCAATTTCGCCGATAATTCACTCGCATGCAGTTTTTCTTTTTTTTCTTTTTTTTTTTTTTCTTTTTTCACGCACGTAACACGGCAACAACAATATCAGACAGCTAAGAACATCACACGTCGCAAAGATTCTATATACTGTAACGCATCTCGATCTTCTCGGCGTCGCGTCTCTCGATCCAAACCGAGTCGTTCTTCGTCCGGTTGAGAGCCAATCGAAAAAAGGAGGACAAGCGTCGTCAACACGCGACAAGAAAGTAAGAAATAATCGACGCGTTTACCGAGATTCGCTCGCTTTTTCGTTCTCGAGTCGATCGCGTATTCGTTTCGTTAATCGAGCGCGGACGAAAATCTTGAACGCGATTTCGATCAAAGCGTTTGCTCGATCAACGTTGATGAAACGTTAGAGGTGAGAAACGACAACGAGAGCCGGAAAAGCAAGCTCATCAACGGGATTGGACGCGGCGAAGAAAGATAACGAAAGGGAACGACGAGAGATAAATGACGAAAGCTCGGATGGATGTACGAAAGCGACGAAAAAAATAATTCAAGACATCGCATTACACAGCAGCATTACGTTTATTGTAGCACACCAAACGATATCGATATAACGCACTATAATCGCATATATGGTTATACTTTTCTAATCTATACTTTTACCACCCTACGTCTAAGTATAATATATATATATATATATGTGTGTGTGTGTATCTCTAACTAATTGTAAGGATATGCTTCTCTCTTATGTGCACTCGTTCGAGCGATTACAATAACTAGACGAAAAGCGTTCAGCACAAAATAAAACATAAAAATCAATCACAACGTAAACTATGTATGTGTATCATTATATCAGAAGATATAATAGAATTTTGTGTGACAAATTCTTAACCTACGATGTCTCGACAATAAGTACATACATCTAAAAGTGGATCGTGGATAATTTTCACTCTCGATGAATAAATATGTAAAAAAAAAATATATATATATCGAGAACTCTTTATTTCGATATTTTTATTATTAAAAATCTCTGCATTCAATTTAATGGTAATAAATTGATAATTGCTTAGCTCTTTTTTAAACAGTTGATAATAGAAAAAAATATGTGTCTACGGTAAAACAGGTGAAATATGACTTCGCAAACAGGACACTTCAAGCTTAGCACTAACGTTGAAAAGAAAAAGAAAAACAGAAACATCGAGAAGAAATCTATCCACGACTTTCCAACTAACGAACGTGACACGTTTCGCGAACGTCAATTGTATCTATTGTAGCGTCCATTTGTCGATGAAATACTTTCACTTATCTGCAAAATTTACCATCTACAACGACGACGTTTCTCTTTCACACAGGGGAAACTGAGATTCCAAAGATGTTTTCAAACTCTGGAAACCTCTTTCAAAGAGGATTCTCACTTCGTATCATTTCTCTCGCGTGGATTTAAAACTCGACCTCTACTTTCGTCGAGTTGTTACACACTCGTTACAGTTTCCAATTAAAAGGAAAAAGAACGTGAAAGAAAAGCGACAAATGACCACTGCGAGATACACGTACGATCTGTAGAACGTGTACAACTACGATTTAAAATACGCAACTAGGATTTTGCGATTATACTGTGTATCGTATCTCTATAAATACATCGGCATCCGTACGAGATGGGCAGTGTATTTACACAGTAGTGTTGCCGATGTATTCCGACAAATACATGGAAAGTGTAACCTACACTCTATTTAGAAAACGATCGATAAAACATTCGATGTTTAATAAACGCCGTAAATTTTCTTTTTATACAAATGTGTCGCACACGTAGTACGCGCAACGGTTTGTATATACAGGGTGGTGGTGAGAGACTGGAAGTTTGCAGAATCGTTTGGAAGCACCGTGGTATTGTACAGAGGGTATTAAAAAAAATTTCACATACCATATTTCAAAGAAGGGAAGAGGTGCCGAACTTTGAACAAATTTACATCGACTGCTTGTTGAGTTCTGGAATTTTGCCAAGGTTTTAGCGGGAAATTTTCGAAATTGTGCAATCATTGATCGCATCGTTTTACGAACTCACGTGAAAGCTGCGTCTTCCGCTAGAGATCTCCCACGAAAGCTTTCTGTCAAAGCGAAATGCGATCCTCTATACTTCGAGGAGAAACTAAAAAAGATCTGCTAATTTCAACGAAAATGGGAAGCGGATGCTATGAGCTAAAACACAGTTTACGAAATTAGACGAAAGTAGACGAACGTAAGAATTAACGCTACGTATAAAAATTACTCTTGAACTACGAATAATCAAATTATCCAAAACGCTAAATCGAACGCTCTTTACTCTTACCTTCCCTATTTTTATTATAAAAAAAAAAAAAAAGAAAGAACAGATTCTATCCCTTTTCGACGCACGCTTCCAAATTCCGAGATCTCCTCTCTCGCGACACCCTCTATACACCCGTCTATACATCACAGTGAACCAACTGACGTTAAAACAATCCAAGGAACTATTCGGGCACTAATTGCACGTAGCAAGAGATTGCAAGAGTATCCAGTAATTTATACGTTATCGGTCGCGCCTTTTGTCCACCGTTCACCAGCGTAAAGCACGACGACTTCCGGTATCGGCTGGTTCGTTTCGCGGCAACTCTCTCACACTCAGCACGGAACCGCCTTTCAAAAACTACATTTAACACGGATACTGCAATCTATTTATCGACTCGACACACACACACACACACACACACACTCTCTCTCTCTCTCTCTCTCTTCAACGACTTGAAACGAGTCGAAATCTGTGTTCTGTCCTCGTAGGGGATGCTTAAACCGACTGCCAGAACTATGCTCTCGGTGTTCGTTCGAATATTGAAATCGAGGTTCCAGCAGTCTCGTTCTGAACTGACGTTTCTGTTCCTTCTGTTTTTCTTTCTTTTTGTTTTTCATCTTTTTCGTCGAAGAAACAGTCGAGGTCTTAATATTAAAACTCGTTCGTTTGTGCCTTTTCGAAAGTCGATAGCGACGGATTGCACTCTCCGACCCGTGAAATCCTCGCCTTCTACAATTCTTTTTAGGCACGATCCCTAAAAAGTTTCTCTCTTGTTTTTACTGACAAAATCCGGAAGATTCGTTCTTCGTGTAAATTCCGTTACTGTTAAACCTTTGCCGTCCCTAATGCTCCAGAACGCTCGATATTTAATGGTGCCTGACTAAACGCTCTAAAACGCTCCTCCAACACGCGCTGTAACTCAATGCGTTGAAAGACATAACACTATCAGCAGAGATCCAGACTGAGTCATAGGCATGGAGATTGTGTTTTGCTTAAACAAACATTACTGCACATTTTGCTTATTGTTTATTCCATAAATAATAGCTCTGACATTTAAAAAAATTTAAATACTTTGCTTAAAAACGCGATTATCGCGGTTGTGCTCTGGTATTTAAAACGTGAGCGGCAAAGGGTTAATCTGCGTTGCGCCAATTCTGCCAGAGGGTAGTTTCAGATTAGATTCAGGCGGGTCCTTACATCTTCGATCAGAAAGTATCAGATACACTGCTTTTTTGAGGGGGAGAGAGAGAAAATGAAATTTGGTAGCAGCGTGGGTGTTAAGACGATTCGTCTTTTTTACAGAAAAGAAAAAAAGAAAAAACAAGTGTGTGCGATCCGACGAAAAATCCTTCCACGTGTGATACATCCTTCACGGTTTGTCCTTACGCGTTGACACGTTTGCTCAGGCTGACGTCATCGTGTTCGCAGCGCGCATCGCAAACAACCACCAACCAAATGGAAATATTAGCTCAGCGTTCGATAAATCGATACGGAATGCGAAAATACGACAACGCGCGACAGTGCACAAATACAAAACGAAAAGTAGAGGAGGGGAAAAGAAAGATGGGAGAAGATAAAAACGGCGGGCACAATGGGCGGTTCACAAAACCGGTAAAACACTAAAGATCGAACCTTCCGGATATCGCCATGTTACATGACCAAAAAAAAAAAAGAAAGAAAAAAGAGAAAAGAAAAAAGAAAAAAATGAAAAAGTTACGACATTCGAAAAGTCCTGTTGTTGTTGCTCCACCGTACAGTACACGGAAAATCGTGGAAACAAAAGCACGGTGTAAATACAATTGATCCATCGACGTTGAAACAACAATCGCGAACAAAGTTCGCCCCGATACGTAGAACGCTCGACGAATCGGAAGTTACAAATTTATTTTCGTACGAGAATCATCGTTGCGACGCAGTTAATATTATCAGCGAGACTCTATAAATTATTACAAGATCACAAGATTGTGAAGGAAGTTGCAGACGAACCCGCGAATTCGTCGAATCAAGATCGTGAGGACAATAATTTCGTGCAACAGGTAGGCTCGCTGATGTTATTAACACTTCGTGGACATACTAGAGTCCGAAGAATTTTCAATGTTCCTAGCGAACAGAAAGAAAGGACCGAATCGGCGAAGGAAAATCGGAGCTCCTCGGATGAAGGGCCCAATTGCCAAATCATTTTCATCGCAAGCGAGCCAACGAGGTTTCAACCTTCGTCAATCGAGATACGCATTTCGATGATACTGGCGTTTATGTATATAGATTATATTTATGAGTTAGTGATGTGTCATCGGTTTCCCCCGGGGATGACGATTGCCTGGGTGGCGATCGTCGTCAGGCAGACGGTCAAAATAAGAAGAAACAAAGACGTAACACAACGATTATGCATGTACACGTGGGCAGAAAGAAGCGTCATGCGGTGCAGCCAAGCGTGCGTTGCTGTTTACCTGCGAACGGCACATCCCCGAAGTATTCCTCGACGTTGTCCGTCGACATGCTCTTGTCCGACAGAGACACGCTCGATAACGATCCGCTGCTGGCGTCCAGAGAGCCGCCGGCCGGAAACTGCAATAAATCCTCGTCGGTTTCCGTTTCCATGTCGCGGGACCGCCGTTTGTACACCTGCCAACAAGTAACACCCACGTATATGCATTTTTCATCGCCTCTATTTTCCCTTCATTTTCTTCAGCCGGCGCTGATCCATCGTGAGAAATCCATTATCGCGCTAACTCTTTACACCTTTTCGTAACTGACGAATCTGGCCATTTTTTTTTTTTTTTTTTTTTGGTTTAATAAGTGGATAATAAATAAACTAGCGAATGTGCTGGTGTGTGTATAGCGTATCAAGTTCGAAGAGTTTTATTTATTTATTTATTTTTTCTTTTTCGGCAAAGTTGAATTATTCTTCCAGGAGAGATGATAAAATCGTCCGTCTTGCGCCGGCAACTGGCTCGCGGACCATGACGAGTGACCGAACCGTATACATATAATTCGTCGCTTTCTTATTGAACTCGTCAGTATGATATCACTGGATAGAAATTATTGAGAAGTAATAATAAATTTATTATTTGTTCTACCCGAGTCATCATACTTACAAATATACTTAAAACTGAGAAAATGTTGCAATTTTCAACCACTTGCGCTGGTAACTGATTGCGGACCATAACGAGTGGCCGAACCGTCTTTCCTTTTCTTTTGAACTCATGTCGGTACGATTTCACTGGACAGAAATTATTAAGAGGTAACAAACTTATCATTTGTTTTGCCTGGGTCGCATTTAAATATACTTGAAAGCTGAGGAAACGTTGCAATTTGGGACAAAAAAATTCTCGACGTGTGTGGCACGTCGTTCCAGCGCAAGAGGTTAACTACTTGCGCTGGTAACTGATTGCGGACCATAACGAGTGGCCGAACCGTCTTTCTTTTCCTTTTGAACTCGTCAGTACGATATCACTGGACAGAAATGATTAAAGAGTAACAAATTTATCATTTGTTTTGCCTGGGTCGCATTTAAATATACTTGAAAACTGAGGAAACGTTGCAATTTGGGACAGAAAAATTCTCAACGTGCGTGACACGTCATTCCAGCGCAAGAGGTTAATTGTGTGTTTCTGATTTTGTGGCTTTCTACCAAGAAAGATTCAAAGATTCGTCAAAGTTAATTGTTGTTTGAAAAATGTCAATTAACAGTTACTTCTTGATGAAATTTCCATTGAAAACTTAACAATTCAGTTGTTTTTAAATATCTGCATCGGAACGTCGAGTGTTCTCTTTCTGTCACTTTCTTCCGAAAATACAAACTCTGACTTGTCAATGTTAAATCCCGATAAATCAATAATTATTCTTCGACAAAATTTCGATTAAACACCAAGAAATTTATTTGATTTCAAATATCTGCATCGGAACGTCTCGAGCGTCACTAAAACTCACGTTTAATCATCTTCCGAAAATTCTACAAGTCTGACAGAGTTAACTTTCAATAAATTAATAGTTACTTCTCAATAAAATTTCTACTAAAAAAAAAAAAAGCAAAGGCGATTTAATTTGTTTTAAATATCTGCATCGGAAACGTCGAACGGATTCAATTATACCTTATAATTGAGATTTAATGAAACACGCACCGAAAGTTAAACCGCCTACTACCATTGAAACGCGGTTGACAGATTTTATTTTCCTCAATTCTTTTTTTTCTCCATTTTGGAAGTGCGCCGCTTTTTCACCGGTAATACGCGCTCGAATTACCAAAAGAAAAAAAAAAAAACCCGGATTAGAAATGACGTTTCGCGCGATAACGTTTACAAGCGGCGCAGAAATTCATCTCCCAGCGCGTGGAAAACACGCTCGCGCAGAGCAAATAAAAAAAAAAAAAGAAAAAAAAAGACCCGGTTGCAATCCGATAAAAATCTATCCGAACGGATCACTTGATGCGATTATACACAATAAACTTTATAAAATATGAATCGGATAAATAAATCTCGCCGGGGATATATATACATATTTCTATCGATGCCGGCAATTTAAACCGTGACGCACGTGTAACCGGTTATTAAAATTTCGATTTCATCGAATCAAAAATATATCGTCGTCATTTGCCTCGGATCAACACATTGAATAAATGCTGAATGCGATCGTAATAATAAAAGTCATCGAGCTCGCGTGGTAACATTAACCGGGGAAAGGGGGGAGGGAGAAAGCTGCGGCCCGAATGAACATTTTTTTTCAAATGAAACATAGAGGAACTCTGTTTGACCTTTTCACCTTTTCATCCTCACTTGTACGTTCGATGGAGCGTTCATTTCCGTTTAAAATTCGAAAAACGACCTGACCGTCGAATAGAAACGTCGATAACACACGGTAAAACTCCGTTTACGTAAACTTGTTGCAGAATAAACATAATAATTGCGTACAATAGCAATAGAATCGGTCCACTGATTCTCCCCGAGCTGCAAGTAGCCAATAGTTTACTCAATCGGCAGCATTGGCTAATATATGGTTCGAGCACATGTATAAACGGAGAAATGTTTGTATTTATAGATATATTATTTTCCAAACATTTTACATTCCTTCGCTGTAAACACGCGGATGCGACGTGCGAAGCCGCGAGAGAGAAACCGCCGTTTCACCGTGAGGAAGACGCGCGCGATTCATCCATAAAGAAACTCTCAAAGGTGTGCTAGGCGTCTTTCTCAGCGAAATCTCACCGAGGAAGATCGTCGTTTTAACGCAATTAAAATTTGACGCCAGCAAAGCCGACAAACGGACAGACAGGCAAACAGACACGGGTGGTCGCGTCCTGCGGCGTGTACGAAACGCGTCGCTAGAAATTCGTAGATTTCTCCTTGCCGACGACGTCGTCGTCGACGTCGTCATCGTGATGGCGCGAGGAGAGAACGAGCGTTCGCGAGGAGAAGTCAGACAGGCATAGAGAAGCCGAGGGCTTCATTATTCAAAGGGTGTCGGCGTCTTGCATTCTGCCGCTCTGCTGGATCCGCGGAAGTTGACGGGTGTGAAGCAACCATCCGTGAGCAGTTCCTCCGCCTCCAGTCTCTTCGCCAAGCTTCAACCGCACCGCGTCACACGATTTCCTCTTTTCCACGATTCCTCCTCCACGACTCGCCTCGCGCCGCGATATCCTCCTTCCGGAACCGCCATTGATTCGCGCCGAGGGATCGCCGAACATTCGTTTCCGTGCTCGATCTCTCGCTCTTGATCCCTTTATCTCTATTTCTCTTGTTTTCTTCTTTCCCCTCTGTCTAGCGTCTTTATTTCTCACTGTCAGCGTGGGAAACTTGAACTCTTAAATACAGAATTTAACACAGTAGTGTTATCTATGATGGAGGATTGAGCGACGAATCTAATGGGGATCGATCAGTTGACAGAGAATTTGGAGCTTTCCGAGGATAGAACAGGGAAACTGAGGAACTCTCGGAAACGTCACGATTCTGAAAATTGGTATTCAACCGATACGAGTAAGTATATAAATTTCCTATTATTAGTCAGAAATTATATTGTGTTATAATACAGAGTGGGCCAGAAATCACTTCGGACTACTGAAAAAACAACACAAACATGCGAACGTTCTGATGGTCAACATTTTGAAAGGAATAATTTTACAAACGTAACGAAAAAACTACGTTTGAACTTGAATTCAATTTAAAATTAATAAAGCTAGTTCTTTCTTATATTTTGATGTTTTATTTAAAAAAAAAAAAATGGATGAGAAGAAACTTTTGGCCCATCTTGTACAATGTCAAAATCGTTACATTATATCACAAATATAATTATCATTATATTGTAAATTCATTATTACAAATGATTCGTTTCGTTGCAATTGTAAATTCGTTAAATATTCTTCAATTCTCTGTCGCGCGAGATTCGATTCGAGATACCGCCTGTTATATCTTTACTTTCGTGTCTTCTCTCGCTGGAGAAGAGAGGACCCGAAAAGTCGAAGGGAAAAGTTCAATCGCCGAGCAATTTTTGCCCTCCGCAGAGATTGATAATTAGAGCATGGGACCAAGTAAACACTGCAGCCGGCAGATCGTTTCCGCTTCCTGTATCAGCTGTGCACAGCTCAGCGAGAGGTACAACCTTTGCCGCTGTACCACGGTTCGAGGAGACGACTAAATTGTGCCGAAACATCGGCTGTGTCTCGTCCGGGTTGATGAGATTTACGAGCGTCAATCGAAATCGAGGTTGACTCGTTATCGCCGGTCGCGACCCCGTGACTTGCCAATTACCGTCCCGCTAGATTGCCAGAGATCTATACACACACACACACACATAGACACACACACATAGACATCCGGTTCAACGAAATTGCACGCTGTGCAACTTCGTTTCCCCTCCCCCGCGTGCGACGCAACCCTTCTTTCTTACCTTCTCACATCGAAATCGATATTTTCACGAACACTGTTCAGAAAGGACTTTATTTTCGCACTTCGTACATTCGTCGAGAAATATATTCTCTCGCAACACACACATATATACGATTATTTCTCCCATTGCTTTGAATCAACCCACTGTGGTTGACTGAATTCCTTTTCGCAATTATAAAATAGAAAATTTATGCAACGCGAAGTCAAATATCGACATGTAAGTACAGATTGGCAATGAATTCAGCGGCTTCGATTTTGTTACGACGAATACGTTTTGTAGTAACTTTTGAAGTAACAACGTAACGGCAGTTGACGTTAAACGTAAGTATACGTTGCATTTCGAACGTTTTATTCTTGGAATTTATTTATACACGTTATCAAGTGAACGATCTTTGTCCGAGTCAGAATCTAATTAAATTAAAGAATCTTCCGCTGATGCTTCTCATTCTTATTGCTCTTTTATTTTTATATGATTCTGTATTTATATTTTAGGTAGCTCTGCTATATAAAACTAAAAAGCAAAGGAAACTCAAGTATTGTCGCAAATACACTGAACTCGTCATAGCTCATTGCGACTTGAAAAAAATCACGAAGCCACGTTGTATGAAAGTAGTGAACAAAATGATTGTTGAAATGCAAACAGATAAGATGTTATCGACATACAAACTAAGAGCGCTTTTTCTTGTTTAACAAACACCGACAGAAGAGGAAATAATGACAACTGCACAAAATGGCTCCCGCAGACAACTTGTAAAAGCATTTACTTTGATATTTTAGATCGTTACCAAGAATGTTACTGCGAAGACGCATGTATATGCAACCTTGTGGAAAAAGAATTATTCAACAAAATGTTACACGAGCTTACAACAGAGGGTAAACATCGTGATACTAAATTCCAAAATCCAAATATTGATAGATTACAACAATTCGATTCTAGATTGTAGACGATGCTAACCTGTACATATTTTGTATCTATTAATTATTAATACAAATCGACGATCTTTATTACGTACGTGGAATGCCTGCAAAGTTGAGAATGCGAGACAAACGTTTATCCTTCCTCCTTCGTTTGGACGAAGTCCTAAACGCAATTTAGGAACTTGGGTTTCGACTCGACATTGCACAAACTCTCTCGAACCTTATAACTCAACGAAACCTTGGCCAAATACATCTACGCTCGCTGATATAACTGATTACTGGTCCGAGTGTTGCTCGAATCGGTCCACGGAACGATGCTGGGGCGTCTGTAAATACGCGACAGAGAGAGAAAGAGAAAGAGAAAGAGAAAGAGAGAGAGAGAGAGAGAGAGAGAGAGAGAGAGAGAGAGAGAGAGAGAGAGAGGCCGAAATCTGGCAAAAAGCATACGCGCGACATCATACCCGGTATCCGTGAAGATCCCGAGGCACTAACTACACGATCCCCCTGAAGCGGAGGCAACCGTACAAGCCGGCAGCCAAAGCGTCTTGCCTTCATCCGGCTCCTCTCGCTGAAGGATATACATACGTACGTATATTCACTGTACGATATCTCGTGAAGCGTGTATAACCGCTGAAAGACACGGATTGCCAGCGCGTATAGCAGCCAGAAACGGAAAGGAAGTATGTAGCGAGAAAGGACGAGCGTGTAGCATGATGGCGAGAGAGCGAGTCGAAGCGAGAGTGTCGAAGAAGGACGCGAGGAAACAGATAGTTGGTAAAGACGTCGCGCGTTTCTGGCGAAGAGAAGACGCGTGTGTCCCACACACACACGCGCATACACATAGTGAGAAAGAGAGAGATGCGGAGAGGTTCGAATCACGAGAGACGGTGGTGCACCTGTGGAGAGGGCAACAGATAGAAACGAGGAGAAATAGAGGGAGAAATAGAAGGCTCGCGACGCCGTATGTGTGTATGTTATACGTGGATATATCCGAGCGAACGTAGTCAGTCTCACAGCAGAATGATCACAGGATGACGGCGGCAAACGGCGGGAAACGAGCGATACAGAGTGAGAGAGATAGAGAGAGAGAGAGAGAGAGCTCGGCCTCCTTGCAAATCGCATCACAGATCAAACACGGCTTGTATATTAAACGTAACCTGCTAAGGCGTCCTGGCAACCGCTTATCTACTGTCCATTCTGCCGAGGGCCGAGTCTCGATCACGAGGGCAGCTACTCGATGATACTTTCGACGACGCTCTTCCAACCAGCGACGCGATACCCTCGATCAGAATCTCGACAAACGACGAGCGATCCTCGTCGTTCGAGGCGCTACACCGTTTTCGCGGTAGGAGCATTCCGGACCAGTACTTTCGCGACCAGACGCGCGTTAGCTACCTTTGACATCACGACACACACGACGTTACACACAAGCGCGCGTCAGCGCCGAGACGCAGTCAAGGATGGAAAATTGAACGCCCGCGAACGCACGACTCAGCGAAGCACACCGTGCGACGAATCGCGAACACGCTCGCGCCGAGTCAACCGCTCAACGTCTATCAGAGAGACCGGGAGACTGCGATTTGCAAGCGATTCCAAGAGATAAGCGTATCGTTCTCGAGGCAAAGGTTCGAAGGGGTGACATTTTTCAGAGTCAAGCTGCGAGTCGATGGTTCGGAATAGGGTTCTTGGATTCGAATGGAACCAAAGTTTATTACATGAAGCGTCCTTTAATCCTTTGACTGACTAACTTGACAATTACTGATCTACAACATGGAATTTATCGTTGTAATTTATCTAACATAACAATTATAAATAACTGAATGTCGGCAACTGTTTCAATGTTCGCGTGTTTTTATCAATACTGATCAGTCTCAATTTCGCTGTCCCCGCACCGCGAATTGTTTATTTTAATATTTATCTTAGTTTATGATCAGTTCGTTATTTTCCTAAATAATACAATGTACCTAGAAGAGAAAACGAGTAAATGTGATAAGTAATAGCGAAGATAGCCAGTCGCAACGATTGACATGTGAATATCGATGTGAGAATATGTCGCAGTCAAAGGACCAAAGAGTTTTTTTACGGTTAATTTCAAGAAAATTAATGTTTGACATTGATCCCGAAATCGTGCCTGCGAAAACCTGCAGATTGAAATGAATGACCATTGCCTCGGAAATTACCTCTCCCAAAATTCGCGTTAGCCAAGTACCATACACAAAACTAGAAAGAAGCCACCCACAAACTCGGAACATGTTACAGAAGAAGCTTGCTTCATCCCGATTCTAAACTCCTTTCCAATTCTGCAGCACACGAGTGTAAATTCCCCGAGTGTGAAGCTTGAAACTTGAACCGACAAAGAATGACCATTTCCTCAGAAATTACCTCTCCCAAGATTCGCGCGTTAGCACGTACCATGCACAAAACTAAGAAGAAGCCACCAACTCGGAACATGTTGCACAAAAAGCTTGCTTTCCAAACACCGAAAACACCTTTCCAATTCTGCAGTAAACAGGTGTAAGCGGGTAGATTCCCCGAGTGTGAAGCTTGAAACTTAGACCGACAAAGAATGACCATTGCCTCAGAAAATACCATACACAAAACTAAAAGGAAACCACCAACATCTCAGAATATGTTACAGAAGAAGCTTGCTTGTTTCTTCCCGATTTTAACCCTCGTGTAGCCGGCACCGGGTCACCAGAACTTGATGCTATACATGTACAGGCAATGATAATAAATATGGTACCAAATGTGCCAAATGTTAACGATTTATTATGCAAAGAACATGCAATAAAAAACACAATAACGTTGTACGTACGTAGTGCACATAAATAAAAAACATGTTTATAAAATTTTACATTTTTTTAAAAACAAACTCCTCTCCCTCTTCATATTGTAAACATTATTACATCCTGTACTAAAAAAAAAAAGTTAGTTGCGCAAAGCAAGTATAGTAAAAATTCAGGTATGGGTCAAAAGTGATCCGGTGTCGGCTCGCCGCGTTGCTCATTTACGTCGGCTATTCAAGAGTTAAACATCTTTCCAATTCTAGCAGTAAACGAGCTGTAAGCTGACTACCCGAGTACGAAGCTTGAAACTTAAACAACTAGAAATTTCTTTATTTAGAACCACCGTACAGATCCGGAGATCCAGTGACCTGGAAAAACACTCACCTGACTCAAAGGACGAATCCTCTCGTGAATCGACTTCTCGGCCTGCATGGCGGAGGGTGGCGGATGATCAGGCGTCGGTGGCTGAGCATAGTGCGTGGGGCTGGTGGGCAGCATCATTTGTACTCGTTTCAGGCGCTTGTCGGTTGCCTCGCGGCCCTCCGGCGTCGGGTGCTCATCGACGGCGTCCCGCTTGTCGTCCAGAAGGCTCTCCTGGGAAGACTTGAGCGTGAGGAACGCGTTCGACACGAACGTCGGCTCCTGGACGAACGAGTCGGTCTCACTGCACGGCGACTTGTCCGCGCAGGGGCTGCTCTCCGGCTCGTAGCTCTCGAACGCGTGCCTACGTAACTTTCGCCGTGGATTCAGCGTCTTGATCGGCCTGTTCTCGTAGATGGAAGTGATGGCAACCGGTTCGACGTTCGACTCGCGCTTCTCCTCGCCGTCCGGCACGCGGGACTTCATCTCCACGTATTGGTCCACGCTCCTGGTCACGTGACGCAGTTGTTCGCGACGTTTCTGCAGCTGCTCCAGGTCGATGTGACTGCGGGCGCCGCTGCGCGCCATGAACAGATACTCGTAGTTGCTCGGGCCCAAAGTGCAGTCCGCCGACAGAGACATCTGGGTCTGTAGGTGCGTCGGCGAGACGGAGAGGTTGCGTCTCGGTGGCTTTTTCGGTGGCGTTGGCTGGAATAACATCAATTATTGCGCGCGCGCGCACACACACACATACACACACTTTCTCTCTTTTTCTCTCCCTTAATTTCTTAATACATTTCGCGAAAAATACGCGCCATAAAAGAAATAGATTTGAGAGGAATCTTGAAGAAAAGTCCATTTTATTTAAATGGATGAATAATAAAATCTAGAACATGGGTGTCCAACCTTTTAGATCTTCTGGGCCTCATTGGTTAACAAAAATTTGTCACGGGCCGCGCATATATATTTTCTTTCTTGTCAGTTCAACGAAGACATTAAAACAATTTTTATAGTGAAACGATACATTGATTAGGAAAATATATATGTATTAATTAAAAAAATATGGAAATTTTTAACGACGACAATGAGCTTGTTTTTTTTAGGCACCAGTTCATCAATATCTAGGTTTGATAGTGGCAATACACGAAGAATATTTTTAGAATGTTTGTCCAAAATTTTCGTTCTTATTTTATGTAAAAAAAATCTATTCGCAAATATAAGTACTCCCCCCCCCCCCAAAAAAAAAACGTTATGAGCAGCACATGTTCGTGAAATACTGAATATTTTTCTTTAGGCAGGTATAGTTTATAAAAGTCTAATAAAGCTTGGATAAATTTTTCCTCGAGTTGTACATCTATAATTATAGGTAATTGGTCACTCTAACAATAAGTTTCAAAATTATTCCTGGTTAAAATTATTCAAATAATAAAATTCTTATTCAATTGTTCCAATTTTGGTGGGTTGGACACACCTGATCTAGAAAATAGAAAATAGAACAGCAAGAACTCGTACACTTGTGTACACTTTAATTGAAAAGGATCGACACTTGGACAACATATTCGATACATCGTCAACGGAAAATATGGAAATAAAAAACACGGTGTCAATTAAGGATTGAGGTTAACAACGATGAAAATGGATACCCTCCTTCCAGATAAAAGAAAGACAGTTCAGTGTTAATGAAGTCTGGATAATAACAATCGTTCGGATATCTTTCGACGATAATATTCGATCGGCATTTTCTTTTCTTTTTTTTCTTTTTTTTTTTTTTTTCACGAGACAGCCTCGTTCGAAGGGAAAACGTAGCCAGCGTCAAGCTGTCGGGCCAATTAACTCGCGATCAATTTGTCCACGTTAACGAACTGTAAGGCGCAGAGATGATTCATTGCTGGGTTACACGGTACGCTTGTCCGCGATGTAAAAAAGGAGTCAATCTCGAACAAGTGGAAGAAAAAAGAAAAAAACGGAGAAGAAGGACGCTTGAGAAAAAACAATTCATCGTACAAATTGAAACTCTGGTAACAACATGGAGATATTGGAGATTTAAAAAAAAAAAAAAGGCGGAAAAAGAAAGAGAGAAGGTCGGTATTAAACTTGTAAATTTCAAGTATTATACAACAATGTGAATACAAAATTAACATATTACTTTTCATAATTTTTTTATACAGAGTACAAGTCGGCCAGACTTTGATATCACATTCTGCTTCTGTAAGGACTATCGACTATATTTTAATTTAATCACCGAAACTACCAAACAATGTCGAACAATTGAACGTCGTCTACATCTACTCTGTACAAAATCGTCAGGTAAATTACATTATCAAAACCATAATTACCGGAGACACGACGAAACGGATCAATTAGAAGAGCGAAAGATTTCGCTTCTCGCGACCTCGTGCAACCCCTTCTTCACCTTCGTCAGGGACGAGATCTCGAGGTGAAACGGGGAGAAGAACGAAAGGGGGATATTCTTACCGAGACTTTACTGTTGGAGGCGGGGCTATGGAGAGAGCTGGACAACGGTGCCATTGGCAAGTAAATCCCGGCGGCGCTGGAATCGTTGGGCAAACAACGCCGGTCCCGTGGGCTCGGTCCACCGACGCTCGAGGACGAGGAAACGCTCAATTGATCCGACTCCCTGCCACCACCGTATCCCGTGGGTAATGTCAAGGACAGATCCTCCGACACGAAGCTACCCTCCATTGTTCCACGAGGTACCGGTGGCGTTTGGTACAGTCCGTTGTCGGAACCCCTGCGCAACCAAACTCAACGTCTCAACGGGACCCAATTCTCCATTAGCTTGGAATCTTGTTGATGGTTTACTTTTTCCAACAAGATTCTCTATTTTTTTTTTTTTTTCTGTTTTACTTTTTTTCATCCGATCGGTGTTTCTCTCGGTCGTGTGTGTGTGTGATAAAAATTAAAAAGATTAGGTTGAACTACTTTCATGCAGTAGCGCTTTGGACCGACTGTGCGACGTACGAAGATTTTCTAAGCAAATATTAGCGCTTAGATTTTTACCAATTTTGCATTACTTGGAGATTATTTGTCTTTAACCTCTTGCGCTAAAAGATCGACGACAACTTTTCGTCCCAAATTGCAACATTTTCTCAGTTTCAAATATATAAAACAAATGATGAGTTTATCACTTCTTAATAATTTCTATTCTAGCGATGCCGGCGAGTTCGAAAAGAAAGCGACGAATTATCGTATACGGTTCGGTCACTCGTTACGGTCCGCGAACCAGTTGCCAGCGCAAGGGGTTAAAGAACACGAATTTTCACCAATAGCCTACGATTACGATATTCGTATCAAACTTTTGCAAGATTCACCTCCTCTTCACGCGTCGCAAATATCGCAGCGGAATTACAAAAAACGCAACAGGTTGCACGGTGTCGTGAAATTCGACGTACGTGGGAAAAAATTTGGACGGACGATCGAGAACGGAGAAATCGAAAGCGCTAGAGCATCACTGTGCCGGAGAACAGTTTTGCATGTGGTGTGTTACCGTGTGGTGTCGGGCTGTGCAAGTGGTACACTGTCGGCGGTAGTGTTTTGTGGTTTGTCGTCGGGAGTTTGATCGGAACTTTCGAGAGTATTTATCGAGTTGAGAGTGTCGGACATGGACATAAAGACGCTGTCGAAGACGGAGCTGGGGTCGGAGTCCTCAGTCAGCTGGAGGCTCCTCCGTACTCCGTTCACCGGTCCCCCATTCGGCTCGTCTTCGCTGAAATTCCCAATCCAATCCGATATCGGTGAGGTTTGGAACGCGATTCGCAACAGCGTGTCGGCTATCGCGGCATATGTAAAAAAAAGCAGGGCAGCGCAACCAAGCGAACGCAAACCAGTAGAACAGCCAGTAGTTTGCTAGTACATTTTCTCAGAAGTTCTTGTCAATGGTTGTAAATTATCGTCGCAATCACGTCGCACTGAACTGATCTGCTCAGATATCTTTCCAATTGTCAGCTTGCGTTTCTCTTTTAAAATTTGTACGAAAACTACAAATATTCTTTTCGACGATCATCCACGAAACCTCAACGATCACGAGGATTACGGTGCTCGACGATTAAGCAATTGGCAGACGCGAAAAGACGCGGAGAGACAGAAGATGGAAGGCCAGAGCTCGTTCATCGGTCAAGCTAACGAGTGGCGGACGGTTCTTCCGAGTGTCATCGTCCGTTGCTCTCGACAATGCGTAAGTTGAAGCGGAGACGTCCGCGGCCGTGAGTGGCGACTTTTTAATGAGGCCACGTAGACGGAGGTAAGCGGAGAAACGGACGGACGGATGGACGAAAAGAGAAAAGCACGGAGGACGACGGTGGAGCACGGCTAGGCAGAACAGGGGAGTGGGGAGCGAAAGGTGGCATGGGAGGCAGGGTAGACAGGCTGGCGGAAACAAGCAAAAGCAGAAAGGTGAATGAGGAGCCGGCGAACCGCGGCTGCAGGCCGTGCCCATAGGACGAGGGAGAGAGCAATGGTTATTAGTTTTATGCTGAGACGGGCTAACATTTACATTGTTTAACGTGATGGATTCATCTCGAGGCGGTCGAGCCACGGCTACCGACGTCAAACATTGACGGTGCGGAGGTGCGGAAACCTCTGGTACCTCTGCTCTGCCTCGTTTCCCTCTTCCCTCTCTCGTTCCGACGTTTCTCTCTCTCTCTCTCTTTTTTCTTCTTCCTTCCGTCCTTCTCTGCCAGTAGCACCAAACGGTAGAGAGAGAGAGAGAGAGAGAGAGAGAGAGAGAGAGAGAGAGAGAGAGAGAGAGAGAGAGAGAGAGAGAGAGAGTACCAATGGGGGGAGGTGATATGGCGGGGGGTGACCCAGGGGTGAACGAGGCGGTCAGACCCACCATCGCCTGCCTACATCAGGAAAATTAAACCAAGCCAAGCGGTGCTTAACGCGCTGGGGCTACACGCGGCCGCGCCACCTCCTCCAACCTCTTCTCCTCCACCTCCTCTACTTTCAGCTTCCCTTTTCGGTCCGAGAACCTTTCCTCCTCCTCCTCCTCCTCCTCCTCCCCCTCGACTACCCTCGCAGCAGCCTAACCCTTTCCCTCTGGCTGCTGGCGTGGCTGCGCTCCTGCGTGGGTGCAACCAGCATCGGCTGGTACTAAAAACGGTATCAGCGACGCCGCTAAACCATCATCCGAGCACTCGCCGGCTCACTCACTACTCGGCTCGCCACTCTCCTCGCGTTCATTCACTTCGCGGTGCCCGTGCGGCCGCAGGTCCGCGTCTATGCTTTTGTTTACCCGGCATCTCCTATATTAAAACAACCACGGGTTATGCGCCCGTCTATACTATATATCCGCTCTTTCTAGAAAATATTACCGGCGCCACCCACCCCACCCCACCCCACCCCTCTTGTCCGATGCACCGACGCGATGTTCTTTTCTCTCGCGTCGACCAAGATGACGCCGGGTGAGCACAAATACTCGGGGAATAGGTAGAGGCTCGTTCGCTAGAATTGTTCTTCTCCTCTGGTTCTTTTTTTTTTTTTCTTTTATTTTTTCCTCCCCCGCCTCCACCTCCGGGGGTTTGTTCGTCGGTTCGTTTCTTTTCTTCCCTGGGCATTTTTTCTCTCCACCTCGCCCACCTCCCTCCCCGTGGTCGCGAGAGAGGAGATCGTTGCACGGAACGCAAAATGCGAATGGCACGTATCGATGCGTTCTCGTCGGAGGGACGGACATGCGACGATCGAAAGCAGCCGCTGTGTTTTGCATCCGAGTGGAACCGAGCTTGCTTGGTTATTGTTGCTACTTTCTCTCTCTCTCTCTTTCTCTCTTTCTCTCTCTCTATCACTGATGTGAACACTCAAGAGGTTGCTTGAACTTTTTTTTTATTACCTTCGTATTTTAATTGTAGTAAATATTAATCGTGGTCGATTTATAGCGGAGGAAGTTTCAACTCCAGAGTGTTACATTATAGTTTGTGGTACTTGGAGCGTGAAAAATATCTGTCTGCCTACGTCCTTCATGGTACCTTCATGGAAGTACATAATATCTTCTTTTCACAGTACTTTGTCTGTTTTCCTCAAAAATCGCCATTTACCTTAACGTCCAAATATTTATTAGATAATAAAATATCCAACTCTACTATGAAAAGTGGTATTTATAGAGGGAGTCTCGGTTCGAGTGTCACTTTATAGTCTCTACTACTTGGAGCGTGGAAAAATCTGTCTGCCTATGTTGATACCTTCTTCTCACTCTATATCAAATAATAAAATATCCAACTCCACGCTATTTGCCAAGCATTTTGTAAATTTTATCATACATACTCCCAATTTCTCTTTCACAATAAAGGAGACTGATTCTTGCACTGATAACGCTTATCAGGTAGCTGCGAGCACAGGCGCAGAGTGGCAACGAAATTTTGAGAAACGATCGGCAGAAGGGCAAAAAAAAAAAAAAAAAAAAAAGAAGGAACACCGAAAGCGAGCCAGTGTGAAAAAAAAAAAAAAGAAAAAGAGGGAAGAAAAGGTTGGATACTCACAAAGACACAACGGAAGTGCCGGAAACGCGGCGATCGTCGTCTCGAGGTTTGTGGTAGAATTGCCATTGAGTGGGCGACGTGCCTTCGACCGAAGAAAGATCATCCCCTGGACGAACATTCTCGTAAGGGCTGCCCAGTGAATCGTTCCCCTGCACCGGGATCGGTGGCAAGTTCTCGCTGTCCGCGTCGCTCTCCACGCCGGAGGAAGACCTGTGCCCTGTTTGCAAAATTTCGTTCGTCAATCTTACTACATATTTAACGCGACAGTGTTAAATTCTTTGCCCCTTTAATTAATTAAACTCTTCGTCCATTTAATCAATTAGGGGGGGAAAAACCTATCAACGCTTTATCTACGGATGGCGCCATTTGGGATCAAATTGAATATACTGTAGTTTTTGTAAAGTCCCATTATATATAGAAAGTTGTTTTAATGCCTGTCATACTAAACAAAATTATTGATTTCTCAATATTAAATTTGTAATTTTATAAACTAAATTTTTATTTCTGCGATTATATTGTGAAATATATATATGTTTCGTTTTTCATGAAGTTTGACTTTTCTGTAAAATTTAAATAAAATGTTTTATTCTTGTTAACTTCCAATAAAAAACGTTTATTTTTTTATTGAATAAAAGCATGTAATATTTTCTTCCCAGTTCTCAGCGATAGGAAATCAACCAGTCGATCAGGTATTCAGGAAAGGAAAAATGACGCATTTAGAAAAAATGGTAACGACAAAGTGACACGAACAAGCAACAGATACAACGACGACGAAAACGTAAATGTAAATGAAGCAACATCACGTTATATTACGTTTGAGAGTCACTAGAAAGATCAAGGTCAAAGTGTTGAACAATCTCGTATCTCGGCTACGTCAGAAATTATTAAACAGCATCGACGTTGACTCATTGTCCATTATCTCAACACGACGTAACAAAATAACGAATATGGCCGCGTGTCTTTGCGTCAAATGGACAAACGTGTATCCAACCCACGGTCCACTTGGTCCAATTCACCGTAATTCGTTCAACCTACATTTTATCCAACTGTCGTTTACCAATTTCGCTATCAACGCGCAATTAAGAACCATCTCGTATCGCTCTGACGCGTTGGCCAAACACACAGCGAATTTACCGTTTAACAAATAATGCACCGTCGATCAACGGTGCAAAATCAAACCGCGACCAGCCTCTCGCAGCAAACAGAGCAGTGTTTGAACCTTCGTCAGAATGGATCGTCGTTAACAAGATTTCACGTGCCATCGCGTTGAATCTTTTCAACGGGGAGGCTCGATCGCGCGAATATTCCAAAAATCTGCCATCGACGCAGAGTTATCGCTCTCTGCTTATAATCGACAGCAACGGGAAGAGATTCTTCTCTCTCTGTCTCTCTCTCTCTCTCTCTCTCTCTTTCTCTCTCTTTCGAGACGTGTCTCGTTAATTGCACAGCTCGTTTGCTCGTTTACCTCGGGACACGTCGCGTCACGAGGCGAGAGAAAAAAAACGAGCGTCGCGGCGGATACGCACTTTTTATCACCGCGGTGATGTCCTGAGTGACGTGTGGCGGGAACTGTCCCAGAAGATCGAGCACCGTGTTCTGCCGCGAGTCCCGGATGCCCAGGTCGACACCACGGTCCAGCAACGCTCGCACCACTTCCATCTTGCCGCACAGCGCCGCCTCGTGCATCGCCGTCCCGGCCGACGTCCTCGTGTTCACGTCCACGCCTGCAGCCAGCAACACCTCCACCACCGCTCTGAAATTTCCATTTAAGTTCTTCCGTTACTTTTTTTTTCTTTTTTTTTTTTTTTTAGCTTACCATCAGATAGATTTGTCGGTAGATTTGATCTTTAATTTGTTTTCCCTTGAACGACCGAAAAGCGTGAAAAAATGGACCGAAAATCAGGTTAATCAGGTAAAGACTAATTTCGCAATTTGAAACGATGCGTCCTGGCTTTTCACTTTTACTATGTATAGCAACAAGGTACGATTTGTATTTTTTTTTTCAGAGGGAAGAATGGCTCGGTCATGAGCTATTTACTTTCCGCAAACCTGTGTAAACGGATCGATCTGTTATCTATAAATAATCTACAAATAACGATGGATTTATAAATGGTCTATACATAATTTCTCGAGGAATTTCATCGATTTCATTAGTTCGATTATGATCTATTTCCTTTCGCGAACTTGTGTAGACGAATATTGTCTATATAAATGATTTACTTTAAATAATGATAAATATCTATAAATAATAATGTTCTATGAGCAATGTATAAATAATCCGCAAATAATTCCTCGAGGAATTTCATCCACCTCATCTTCCATCGATCAATCGATTAGTTCGATCTATTTCCTTTCGCGGACCTGTATAAACGAATCGATATGATTTATAAATAATGATAATCTATGAATAACCTATAAATGACGTACAAATAATTTCCCGAGGAATTTCATCGACCTTTCACCGATAAATCGATTAATTCGATCATGATCTATTTCCTTTCGCGAACCTGTGTAGACGTATATTGTCTATATAAATGATCTACTCTGAATAATGATAAATAATGGTGCTCTGTGAGCAATGTATAAGTGATCCACAAGTAATGATGATCTATGAATGATGAACCTATGAATGATTTAAGTACAAATAATTTCCCGAGGAATTTCATCGACGTTCCATCGATCAAGTAACGAATCCACGAACGCCCGTGCGTAAACGTCACTCCGTTGATACGGACGAGCCTCTCGGGCGGAACCTTCTCCAAAATTAACAAACCAAATTAGCGGAATCTATCCCGGAGTTCCGTTTCACCGCGCGTACATACGTCGACCGATCGAGGAACGAAGTCGAAGGGAGGATGGATCTCCGCCGCGACGAGAGGATCACCGACCCGTCAGCTGAAAGTGGACCCACGTTTCAATACGACAGCAACGGCGTGCAGCGTGCACCACGAAACCCAGATTTCGTTTTGTGCCTGTCGGCTGGTGTGCACCGACTGCAGTGACCGCAGCCATCCGTCGCATATAGGATTCGTGGCTGGGAATCGGATTCACGTGCACCTATGTTGTTATTACCGTGCCATAGGGGTATTTGTATACTGGCTTACCAAGAGCACCGATATTGAATCCGATAATAGACATTACTCCCAGTCCCCCCCCCCTCCCCCCTAACCCGGAATCCCTTCCCTCTCGTCCCTTCCACACAACCGAAATCTCTCTGGCTGCCTGTTTCTCTTTCTCTTGCCTGCACGCGTGCATGTACAAGTGGATGGACGCGCGCTGCTGCTGCTTGCTGCACCCTCTCGCTTTCGGTCCCGCTCCGGCGGCCTCTGTCTATCACCGCCCACGCAGATCCAACAGATATCCGCCAAATATCGCGGCGAGGGGCGCGTGAAACGCGTGCGTGAACGCAATCATCGCAGTGTGCACCCAGGGTACATAGACAGAGCCGAGAGTCTCGGCCGCGTGTGTACATTTTCGACGTGGCCGCGTACACACTACGCCGAAAACGAGCGTACACGATCGAGTTTCGCACACCAGTCTCGCGGATACCGTAGTTTCGCGCCTGTCCAAACAGTCAAAATGCCCGTACACACATCGGGGACACACACACGGCGCACACACCGGCGCACGCGCTGCTGTTTGACCGTTGAGATTGTCCATCGGAGACCGGGCAGATTTTCCAATCTAATCAGCGCGAGCGGGATCCGATCGAATCGCGTGAAACTTTATTCGTCACGATGGTGGCGCGGCGGCGACGAGTTTTAGTGGCCGAAGAGTTGATTCTTCGGGGGAATTCGTTCCGGCGAACGAATGGATTTTGTATTTTTTTAGACAGATTTCTAGTTTGTTGAAAGATGATTATGTTTTCTCCTGTTTTTTTTTTGCAGGTGCTGCTCCTTGTAAGCACTACTATTTGTATTTTGTTTATTTGGAAAATAAAGAGTGGCAAAGTAGACTTTGCACAGAAATTCAAAGGATGTTCCATGTCTGTTTATTCAATAATAAAATCCTTTCAAACTGGTTGGAACGGCTGAAGCAACTGACTTGACTAAGTAATCGTAGACATCAACTACAGACAATTAACTAGCAAGGTGGTCCCAAATTGATAGATTAACTAATTGATTAACACGAGACACTTTCATGTATATTTCCTTTCTATAAGATATTTACATTACTTAAAAATTGACATTAAAAGTGTCACTGTATCGTCTCGTTTTAATCGTTCCAAAATATTTTCAGCAGTAACCGCCGTAGCAATCGATGTGTTAACGATCACGGACTTGATTGTTTCTCATAAAAAATAATCTCAGTCAAATGATCCAAAAGACGAGAAAATTTTTTGAAACGCGAGCGTCAAACTTTCTCTTACACATGTATTTTTACAAGATAAAATATTTAATTTCTGTTATTGAATCAGATATTATTGAAAAGATACTACATCACACAGCGTGTCTTTTGTTTCATAAGACAATTTAATTATTTACATATTACTTAAAATTCATCGTAATTAATAGAACGCATCTCGCTTCCGAGTCGTTCCGAAATATTTTTAGCAGCGATCGTCGCAACAATCTCATTAAGAAATAAAGAAAAATCTCGATGAAATAACGCAAAGAGCGAGATAATTTTTTGAAACGCGAGGCGTCAAACTTTCACTTACACATGTATTTTTACAAGATAAAATATTTAATTTCTGTTATTGAATTAGATATTATTGAAAAGATATTACATCACAAAGCGTGTCTTTCGTTTCACAAGACAATTTAATAATTTACATTACTTAAAATTCATCGTAATCAATAGAACGCATCTCGCTTCCGAGTCGTTTCGAAATATTTTTAGCAGCGATCGTCGCAACAATCTCATTAAAAAATAAAGAAAAATCTCGATGAAATAACGCAAAGAGCGAGATAATTTTTTGAAACGCGAGGCGTCAAACTTTCACTTGTACATGTATTTTTACAAGATAAAATATTTAATTTCTGTTATTGAATCAGATATTATTGAAAAGATATTACATCACAAAGCGTGTCTTTCGTTTTACAAGACAATTTAATAATTTACATTACTTAAAATTCATCGTAATCAATAGAACGCATCTCGCATCCGAGTCGTTCCGAAATATTTTTAGCAGCGATTGTCGCAACAATCTCATAAAAAAAAAAAGAAAAATCCCGGTGAAGTAACGCAAAGAGCGAGACGGTTCTTTGAAACGCGAGCGTCAAAGGCGCGAAACGAAACGTTTGTCCAACTGCAGGCTGAAACGTCACGCGCGCGTAATGACGGCCGATGGCCGGTTCTAGCCACGCGAAGCCACGCATACGTGACAACGTTAAAATGTTAAACAGCGAAACGCACGGGAACACGGTGTCGTCTCTCGTTGACAGACGAGTGCCGTGGCGGCACTTGGAGTGCGTGGATAGTCGCACGCGTGTATACAAGCGCGTACACATTCGCGGGGCGGCTCGCTGCGAAACTGTGAACCGCGGCGCGAGCTGCGAGCGCGTGCCCCACGCATGCACTGTGTACATTATTCGCGTGTTTTGTTTGCCACGCGGCCCGTGTTCCACCGTGGCGAGAGAGCTGAATGTCGGGTGTGCCACGTGCGAACGACGAATATTGCTTGGTTTTGGTAAACTGTTTGCGTGAATGAGGGGTTCGCGGCCAACCTTTCCAATATATATATATATACAGGGTGTCCTGTTTTAATCTGTAAATGCAATTATCTCCGAGACCATTTGAAAAACGTCTCGAATGCATCTTCTACTATTTTGGTAATCGCTTGCAATTAGTTTGTCGCATCACCGGATAGACGCGTGTAGATATTATATATATATTATATATAAACTATAACATCTAATATTCTATTATTTATATATTTAGCGTGCTATTCAATTTTATTTTATAAAATTAAAAATTTGTAACTTTTATAACTATGACTTAATTAATAAGAGTATAAAATTAAAGGTCAATTAATACGAATCAGTTCCTTTTATGATCATATTTCTATGTTATATTTCACGTGTTTTTTATAACTGTGATATAAATAGGATATAAAAATTTACTAAAAGAAAAACACAGAACAAATGAAAACCCTTATAGAGGAAATATCTTAAAAAATTTGCAAGCTAAGACGATGAACAAAGATAATGAAGATCATTATTGTTTTTCTTTAAAACAAGATCCTACTGTTTTCCTTCTTAACTATGTAATTTCTTTTTTGACGTCAATCGATGCAGGCCATTTTCTGTAGAAAAGTATTAACTTAGAGAGTTTGACTAAGTATAAACTAACCAAACCGAACGTAACATAAGTTAATCTATATACATTGCTAAAGCTATTAGTTTAAGAGATACTTTAATTTTATAAAGTCTATCGTACGAAAGACGACGAAGAATAAGCGTAGTATTCTCGTGTTCACTGTTCTTGTCTTTTATGCATAGATTAGATAAGAAATATCTCCAACATTAATAGGTTTTAGACGTAGATAATTTAATACTTTTTTTGTAGAGAATGATCGATGCAAAAAGAAATTGCACAATTATACTATACAAAATAGTAGTGATCTTTGTATCTTCTACACGTGTCTATCTATAGACAAACTAAGTGTGCCAAATTACTGAAAAACTTTTGAAAAAAAAAGAAAAAAATGCATTTGAGACATTTTTTAAATGACGAATAGTTGTAGAGTATTTTTAAAATAGTTTTCGTTTGCTCCTTCTTTATACGTATTTGGACATATTGGAAAATATG